CTGAATTCCAAACTTTTTAAGCCTGTCATGGAGTGATGCTCTCTAATTCCTTTGAATATCCTTATGTAATTTTGGTGATGCTATCATATCAGAAGATTATCTATCTATCCATCTATTTATATGAGAGAGGAGTTGATTATAAAGAATTATTAGAGAAGTTGTTAAGTCCCAGGATCTGCAGGGTGAGTTGGAAAGGTAGAGACTGAGGAAAAACCAATAGTGTAGTTTCAGTCTGAAAGCTTGTGGGCTCAAGACCCAGGAAGAGTAGATGTTTCTGTCTGAGTCCAAAGACAGAAAAAAAAAAAAAACTGATGTCCTAGCTCAAGGCAGTCAGGCAGGAAGGATTCTCTGTTATTCAGTGAAGGATGAGCCTTTTTGTTCTCTTCAGGCCTTCAACTGATTTCATGAGGCTCACCAACATTAGGGAGGGCAATCTGCTTTACTCAGTCTGTAATTTCAATATTAATCTCTTCCAAAAACACCCTTATAGAAATACCCAGATTATGTTTGACCAAACATCTGGACACCATGTGGCCCAGTCAAGTTGACACATAAAATTAACCATCACAAGTCCATTTCGTGTCAACTTGGAACCCATATGTATCTCCTTAAAACATACTAAATCTCCAAATGAAGACAATATCAAGGTCATAACCCTGCCCCAGCATGATACACTTTCCTGCATACAACTGAAAATGTACTAACTTCTTCCCCAGATGAGGAGGTAAAGGCCTTGAGTGATGTTTACTCTTCTCTTTGATATCCTTTAACTGAAATATGATGTGACATTTAAAATATTTAATTACTCTGACATAAAGTCAATACGTCTTATGTTACAGGATAAGGGGACAAGAGAGGATAGAAAACAAACATATTTGCTATATAATATACATACATATCTTCATAACAAACTAAAGAAGAAATACTCATGACAATTGCACATTGCTGTAACTGGCTACATGGTTGTAGCTATTATTTATAACTACCTTCTTCTACCATCCATGCTGTAGTCCCTCTGCCTTCAGCAACCACCTCAGCTGGTCCTGGTTCTTTAAGGAGGTTACCCAAACCTTCATTCCTGAAGGGTCTGGACTATCAGTAGTCCTACCTGGATTGGGTTGTTGCAGCTTTCCATTCACCTTAATCACGGGGCTGCAAAAAACAAGAGTCCAGGGCCAGATGGCTTCCCAGGGGATTTCTACCGAACATTTAAAGAAGAAATAATACCAATTCTTCTGAAGCTGTTTCAAAAAAATAGAAATGGAAGGAAAGCTTCCAAACTCATTCTATGAGGCCAGCATTACCTTGATCCCAAAACCAGACAAAGACCCCATCAAAAAGGAGAATTACAGACCAATATCCCTGATGAACATGGATGCCAAAATACTCACCAAGATACTAGCCATTAGGATCCAAAAGTACATTAAAAGAATTATTCACCACTACAAAGTGGGATTTATTCCTGGCCTGCAAGCGTGGTTCAACATTTGCAAATCAATCAACATGATACACCACATTAATAAAAGAAAGGATAAGAACTTTATGCTCCTCTCAACTGATACAGAAAAAAACATTTGACAAAACACAGTATCCTTTCTTGATTAAAACTCTCCACAGTGTAGGGATAGAGAGAACATACCTCAGTATCATAAAAGCCATCTATGAAAAACCCACAACAAATATCATTCTCAATGGGGAAAAACAGAGCTTTTCCCCTAAGGTCAGGAACCTGACAGGGATGCCCACTCTCACCACTTTTGTTCAACATAGTACTAGAAGTCCTAGCCTCAGCAATCAGACAACAAAAGGAAATAAAAGGCATTCAAATTGGCAGAGAAGAAGTCAAACTCTCACTCTTTGCAGATGACATGATACTTTATGTGGAAAACCCAAAAGACTCCACTCCAAAACTGCTAGAACTCATACAGCAATTCAGCAATGTGGCAGGATATAAAATCAATGCACAGAAATCAGTTGCATTTCTACACACTAACAATGACAAAGAAGAAAGAGAAATTAAGGAATTAATCCCATTTACAATTGCACCCAAAACCATAAGATACCTAGGAATAAATCTAACCAAAGAGGTAAAGGATCTGTATTCTAAAAACTACAGAACACTTAGGAAAGCAATTGAGGAAGACACAAAGAAATGGAAAAACATTCCATGCTCATGGATTGGAAGAATAAATGTTGTTAAAATGTCTATGCTACCCAGAGCAATCTACACATTCAAAGCAATCCCTAACAAAATTCCATCAACTTTTTTCCACAGAGCTGGAACAAATAATCCTAAGATTTGTATGGAACCAGAAAAGACCCTGAATACCCAGTGGAATGTTGAAAAAGAAAACTAAAGCTGTTGGCATCACAATGCCAGACTTCAAGCTCTATTACAAAACTGTAGTGATCAAGACAGTATGGTACTGGCACAAAAACAGACACATAGATCAGTGGAACAGAATAGAGAGCCCAGAAATGGACCCTCAACTCTATGGTCAACTAATCTTCGACAAAGCAGGAAAGAAGGTCCAGTGGAAAAAAGACAGTCTCTTTAATAAATGGTGTTGGGAAAATTGGACAGCCACATGCAGAAGAAGGAAACTGGATCATTTTCTTACACCATATACAAAGATAAACTCAAAATGTATGAAAGATTTGTGTGAGACAGGAATCCATCAAAATCCTAGAGAACACAGGCAGCAACCTCTTCAACCTCAGCTGCGGCAACTTCTTGCTAGACACATCTCCAAAGGCGAGAGAAACAAAAGCAAAAATGAACTATTGGGACTTCATCAAGATAAAAAGCTTCTGCACAGCAAAGGAAACAGTCAACAAAACTAAAAGGCAACCTACGGAATGGGAGAAAATATTTGCAAATGACATATCAGATCTAATATCCATGATCTATAAAGAACTTATCAAACTCAACACCCAAAACCCAAATAATCCAATCAAGAAATGGGCAGAAGACATGAATAGACATTTCTCCAAAGAAGACATACAAATGGCCAACAGACACATGAAAAAATGCTCCACATCACTTGGCATCAGGGAAATACAAATTAAAACCACAATGAGATACTGCCTCACACCAGTCAGAATGGCTAAAATTAACAAGACAGGAAACAACAAATGTTGGCAAGGATGCAGAGAAAGGGGAACACTCTTACACTGTGGGTGGGAATGCAAGCTGGTACAGCCACTCTGGAAAACAGTATGGAGGTTCCTCAAGAAGTTGAAAATAGAGCTACCCTACAACGTAGTAATTGCACTACTAGGAATTTACCCCAAAGATACAGATGTAGTGATCTGAAGAGGCACCTACACCTCAATGTTCATAGCAGCATTGTCCACAATAGCCAAACTGTGGAAGGAGCCAAGATGTCTATCAACAGATGAATGAATAAATAAAGAAGATGTGATACACACACACACACGCACACACACATACACACATAGGGGAATATTACTCAGCCATCAGAAAGGATGAATACTTACCATTTACATGGACGTGGGTGGAACTGGAAGGTATTTTGCTGAGCAAAATAAGTCAGTCAGAGAAAGACAATTATCATATGGTTTCACTCATATGTGGAAGATAAGAAAGCTCAAAGGATCATAGGGGAAGGGAGGGAAACAAGAATGGGAAGTCATCAGAGAGGAGACAAACCATGAGAGACTCTTAACTATGGGAAACAAACTGAGGGTTGCTGGAGTGGAGGTGGGGAAGGGGTAACTGGGTGATGGGCATTAAGTAGGGCACGTGATGTGATAAGCACTGGGTGTTATATGCAACTGATAAATTATTGAACACTACATCTGAAACTAATGATGTACTATATGTTGGCTAATTGAATTTAAATAACAAAAAATACATGTAAAAGAAATCACAGGGCTGCTAATACTAAGAGATGCCCTACTGGATCTCCTGTATTCCAGACCCATTCTCCTGTACCTCCACTGTGGAGTAGTAGTCCAATTTCTCCTTCATACTCAGGATCAGACATACCAGCAAGCACGGGAACTCTCCACTCAGACTTCTTGAAAATTAGGAAATATTGTATTGAGCTTTTTTTCCTCTATGTTTTAGGAGTTATGTCTTTTTAACCACAGCTTTTTAGTGGGACAGAGAAAGAAATAGAACAGTACCTCTTTTACATTGGAAAATGGTGATGTGTCTGTGCTTTCATGGGGTAACAGACCTTAGAATCTCCTGCTATGTGCTAGGTTGCTGCAAAGACTTTTTTGAAGTGACTGAGGGGTATGTGAAGCAGAGAAGGAGAAATTGTACTCATGCTGGTGGTTGAAGGAAATAGTTTTGAGGTTTTTTTTTTTTTTTCCCCTTAAGAAGTTTAGAGAGCTATGTCCAGGGCCCACATACTTCAAGGACGAGAGAAGCAGACAAAAGAGAAAATGATATATATATCAATGTTTCCATAGAATCAGACTTCAGTTACTATTCATGAATTTCAACAATTCAAAGGAAGGGATCAAGAAATTTGGAATTATTTTGTTCCCTGAAATATGTTTCCTTGACCATGACTAAGCTCTGAGACTGAGCTGTGTGCTTCCCTGTCTTTTGCGGGTGGTAGATGTTTAGTAGACTGATGGGAATGGTGCACAGGGCATATCTGGTAGTGAAAATCTTCATTGTTTTCCCATATCAATGTAAAAGAAGTACATGGCTACTGTGCAAGATGCTTCTAATCATTCATTCTTACTAAACTAAAAGCAAAATGATCAAGCCCAGTAGTATATGCTCAGAAGGAAAGAATTTTGCTCAGCTCTCTGCCAATGAAGTTTCATCATGTCTGTAGTGTCTACATTAGATGGGACACTTCTCTACTGTATTCTGTTATTTCTATTAGGATTGCTTTGGGAAATTAGGAAGTCGTGTATCTAGAATTGGCACTAGGAAAAAACAAAACCGAGTCTAGGAGGCCTGTTCTGGGAATTTCCCTGAAGAGTATGAATCTATGGTCCTAGTTTATCATAAGTCTTCCTGCCTCAAGGATTTGGCTCCCTCCCAGCTCCTGAGGTCCTTGATTTGACTTACAACAACTTGAATGAAAATTCTCTTCCCGGAATCTTCTTCTACCTTACCACCCTGCGTGCACTCCATCTAAGTGACAACGATTTTGAAATCCTGCCGCCAGATATTGGGAAGCTCACAAAGTTGCAGATACTCAGCCTTAGGGATAACGACCTGATCTCGCTGCCTAAAGAAATCGGGGAGCTTACTCAGCCTAAGGAACTCCACATTCAGGGGAATTGCCTGGCCGTTCTGCCCCCCGGAACTAGGAAACTTGGATTTAACTGGTCAGAAGCAAGTGTTCAAAGCAGAGAACAATCCCTGGGTTACCCCAATCGCTGACCAATTCCAGCTCAGCGTGTCCCATGTTTTTGAATATATCCGTTCTGAGACGTACAAATACCTCTACGGCAGACACATGCAAGCAAACCCGGAACCACCAAAGGAAAATAATGACAAATCGAAAAAGATCAGCCGGAAACCCCTGACAGCCAAGAACAAATAAAGTGTTGGCATGGGCTGAACTTCTGGTTGGTTCCCTCATTATGACTTCTGTTCTCCGTTACTGTATCCCACAAATAAATACAGTGTATGTGTTGTTGTTTTTTTTTCTCTTTCTAGAACTTATCACCTTACCTTTTAAATGTTTTCAGTAGGTGGTAGATTTTTATAAATTCTTAAAACCATTTCCATTTGTTTGCTTAAAAATGCCAAAGGCAGGAAACAAAGCTCTAATTCCACTGCAAATTCTATAGTAGGCACGGAGTTCAGTCCCTTGAATAGATGTTCACAAAGTTGTGAACCAAAATTTCAGGGAATGTATGGTGTTTCTTGCATTTAGGGGAGAGAACTTATTTTATGGACAGTTGAAGGCAAGGGAACACATAGAGACTGGAAGACCAGGAGACATCTAGATGACATTTTCCTTAGCCTTACTTTATATTTCAAAAGTAATAAATGTAAACAATATTAAATTACTATATTAGATAAATGTATTTACACAAATCCTCTTATATTTCTCCTCACAAGAACTTCTAGAACCCGTTTTCCATATATTTAAGTCAAACTTGCCTTCAGTCTAGTACTCTCCCTTGAATTTCCTCCTAATTCAGGTTCGATTTGTCAAGGGAAACACAGGCACCTAGTAGTAGCATGTGTCACAGAGTGCAAAAATGCAGAGACATGCTACTTATAGCAACCATGTATCCAATGAAAGGCTCACAAAAACTAGGAGCTGAGAGGAGAATAAGGGCATCCCTAGGCACCTAGAACATTTTCTGTCCTGTTGATCACTCCTGATAAATAAAGTGTTTTTTTTTTTTTTTTCCACTCCAGGGTCTGAGGAAGAAAAGCGATCTCTACTTTTCTCCATCTCACCAACTACTGATTAATCTCTCATCCTTTGCTTCCAAGATTCTCTGTTTTACCTGCTTATTTGGGGGTCTCAGGAGGAGTTGATGTAAGTAACTCAGGTAGAGGGACTCAGATCTTTGGGTGACAAGGTAGGAGTAAGCAAGGTGGAATGCATTTCCTGCTTAGCTATTGGATCTGGGGAATGCAAACCACTTGTTAATACACATATATAACAGTGGGAAAAGAATCAAGGTAAGAGATATGAAGATATCTCTTCCATGAGCAAGAAAAGTTAAGGAGAAGGCCATACTCCTCCCCCACTGACCTCATTGTGTCCCTGGGATCACAGTGCCTACCCTGTTACCTGGCCAGAGCTCTCTGTACCCCCTGGCCTCGGGAGCAGCACGTCCCCTGGTTAACTTCTGACACTGGCTATCAGCTGTTACCTAGATTCAAGGGAAATAGTGATCAAGTTATGCTGGTTAGTCAGGTGTGTGAGTCACATGTTTAGGATACCAAAAGAAACTCTTCTAATCTTGAAGGCAAGAGATGGAGATGCTCATTACCCAGTTGCGGTTAATGCCATGACTCTTTTAGGGACAACATAGAAATTGGGGAATATTTCACTGTGTTCCCCAATAATACTATTTTGATCACGTACTCCAAACATCAGCCTTGACAATTCTCCAATCCCTGTCTCATCCTGAGGTTGTCTCCATGAAGCAGAATCTTCATGCCAGGATATCAGGATTTTACTGCCATGTTATTCTCTAGGAAGATTTGAGAAATTATGACACATATTGATATGAGAACAATAAGAAATAATTGATCATTAACTTAAAAATATCTCTCTTGTGTAGTTGATGGTCACTTTTCTTTAGGAGCAGAATAATGATTTTATACTCTTTTCTCTGGATATTTGGAAGCCTGTGGTACTAGATATGACAACTGAAAGGAGGGAGGATATGTTAGAGACAATAGTATACTTGTATGCCTGTATATTTTTGTATGTATGTGAAATTGTAACCCAGAACAGCTTTATGAGCTTTTGTGACTACTACCAGTAAAAGAGTTGGTAATACAGAGAATTAGGAAAGTGGTAGATGCTACCCAGGGATCTTCAAGACTATTTTAGGAAATTCGTTATTTTTATATATCAAGATTAGCATTATGTTGGCCACCTATTGGGCACTCAATAACTTTTTGTTGAATGAATGAACGATTAAGCATCTTAATTTTTAAGAAACTGCAGTGGAACAATCAGCAACTTGTGGCAAAGCGGTGTTTTATTTTTAATGCTATATTTTGTGAATTTAGTCTAGATGATTATAACATAAATAAAATATAATATTTATTGGTTACTTACCATATACCAGATGTTCTTTTCAGCGTACCAACTCATTTGATTATTCAACAACTACACAGTTTCTGTGATCTAAACCACAACACTCTACTGCGTCTTGACATGAGGGTTTTGCAGGTTAAGAGGGAGATGCAAAGCTTGGAGCCTCCCAGAGTATGTCAGAGGAAGACTTCAGTTTGGGACTTCAAACGGGTGAAATACACACACACATAAGTAAGTAAATGAATACATAAATCTGTAACATACACAGAGAGATATGCATATGATGTGTATATATTCCACCTGATACATATGTACATATATGTGCATAATGTTATTGCAGGCCTAAGTGTGTGTGTGTGTATATATGTAATTTATAAAATGAAATAGGTGAGAAGGTCCATAGTTTGGGGAAAGATGGTATAGCTGGGCTGCCTGAAGGGGAAATTCTGAGGAACACTGAGGACTTCAGTATGTAAAAGTTCTTTTGAGAATATCCATTGGTGAGCTGAAGAAGTTTTGAAGGATTAATCTGATTATGAGTCATCTAACCTGTGACCATGTGGGTAGTAAGGTGTAAAATTCCTTTTTTCTGACTCTGTGCTTAGGATGCCATATTACATGGTCTCTGCTGGCAGGAGTTTAAATGGGAAAGAGTATCTGGAAACCCAGAAGAAAAGATATCAGAAAAATGGCTCTAAAAAGCAGACAGTCAATTCATTAGAAAGGGAGTGTTGTGACCTTGTCAAACTTGCATTACCCCCCTTTCCATGTCCCCAAAATTCACTGACTTTTTAAAGATTTTATTTATTTATTTGACATAGAGAGAGACACAGCGAGAGAGGGAACACAAGCAGGGGGAGTGGGAGAGGGAGAAGCAGGCTCCTGGCTGAGCTGGGAGCCCGATGTGTGGCTCAATCCCAGGACCCTGGGATCATGACCTCAGCCGAAGGCAGACACATAATGACTGAGCCTCCCAGGTGCCCCTCACTGATTTTAATATGTAATTTGAATACGTTATCACTAATTGAAACTCACTGGTATGGAGGAGAATCTTTTTGTTGGTGGTGACTGATGTACAGTTGCTTTATTTCTATATGAGAAGTTTACTTTTCAATTATTTTACATTCTGGGGAACTATCTTTCAGGTGTTCTAATGCTCTTTGCACGAGGCACTAAATAAAACCCAAGGTGTTTTGTTTTGTTTTGTTTTGTTTTGTTTTTTATTGTTATGTTAATCACCATACATTACATCATTAGTTTTTGATGTAGTGTTCCATGATTCATTGTTTGTGCATAACACCCAGTGCTCCAAGCAGAACGTGCCCTCTTTAATACCCATCACCAGGCTAACCCGTCCCCCCACCCCCTCCCCTCTAGAACCCTCAGTTTGTTTCTCAGAGTCCATCGTCTCTCATGGTTCGTCTCCCCCTCTGACATACTCCCCTTCATTCTTCCCCTCCTGCTATCATCTTTTTTTTTTAACATATACTGCATTATTTGTTTCAGAGGTACAGATCTGTGATTCAACAGTCTTGCACAATTCACAGCGCTCACCATAGCACATACCCTCCCCAATGTCTATCACCCAGCCACCCCATCCCTCCCACCCCCCACCACTCCAGCAACCCTCAGTTTGTTTCCTTAGATGAAGAATTCCTCATATCAGTGAGGTCATAGGATACATGTCTTTCTCTGATTGACTTATTTCATTCAGCATAACACCCTCCAGTTCCATCCACGTCATTGCAAATGGCAAGATCTCATTCCTTTTGATGGCTGCATAATATTCCATTCTGTTTATGTACCACATCTTCTTTATCCATTCATCTGTCAATGGACATCTTGGCTTTTTCCACAGTTTGGCTATGGTGGACATTGCTGCTATAAACATCGGGGTGCATGTACCCCTTCGGATCCCTACATTTGTATCTTTGGGGTAAATACCCAGTAGTGTAAGTGCTGGATCGTATGGAAGCTCTATTTTCAACTGTTTGAGGAACCTCCATACCATTTTCCAGAGTTGCTGCACCAGCTTGCATTCCCTCCAACAGTGTAGGAGGGTTCCCCTTTCTCCGCATCCCCGCCAACATCTGTCGTTTCCTGACTTGTTAATTTTAGCCGTTCTGACTGGTGTGAGGTGGTATCTCACTGAGGTTTTGATTTGGATTTCCCTGATGCGAGCGATGTTGAGCACTTTTTCATGTGTCTGTTGGCCATTTGGATGTCTTCTTTGGAAAAATGTCTGTTCAAGTCTTCTGCCCATTTCTTGATTGGATTATTTGTTCTTTGGGTGTTGAGTTTGATAAGTTCTTTATAGATTTTGGATACTAGCCCTTTATCTGATATGTCATTTGCAAATATTTTCTCCCATTCTGTCGGTTGTCTTTTGGTTTTGTGGACTGTTTCTTTTGCTGTGCAAAAGCTTTTGATCTTGATGAAATCCCAAAAGTTCATTTTTGCCCTTGCTTCCCTTGCCTTTGGTGATGTTTCTAGGGAGAAGTAGCTGCGGCTGAGGTCGAAGAGGTTGCTGCCTGTGTTCTCCTTTAGGATGTTGATGGACTCCTGTCTCACGTTTAGGTCTTTCAACCATTTGGAGTCTATTTTTGAGTGTGGTGTAAGGAAATGGTCCAGTTTCCTTCTTCTGCATGTGGCTGTCCAACTTTCCCAACACCATTTGTTGAAGAGACTGTCTTTTATCCATTGGACATTCTTTCCTGCTTTGTCAAAGACTAGTTGACAATAGAGTTGAGGGTCCATTTCTGGGCTCTCTATTCTGTTCCATTGATCAATGTGTCTGTTTTTGTGACAGTACCATCCTGTCTTGATGATGACAGCTTTGTAATAGAGCTGGAAGTCCAGGATTGTGATGCTGCCAGCTTTGCTTTTCTTTTTCAACATTCCTCTGGCTATTCGGGGTCTCTTCTGGTTCCATACAAATTTGAGGATTATTTGTTCCATTTCTTTGAACAA